TGTTCGTTGCTAAGCCTTGGATTTTCTCGCAGCGGCACAACTGGATCCCTCCTAGGCTTTCCACATAGAAGCGACTAATGAAGAGTGCTTTTCCATCAGTCATGACGGTCCCCGGTCGAACCCGAAGTTGGTCAAGCACCCCTGTGAAAGCAAACAGCCTGCAGCGGATATTACTCGGGGGTGCTGTTGATACATCGTGTGTGCAGTTGCCAGACTTAAAGCCGATGACGGCCGGAGCCGCCTGTATCTTCTGGAGCATATGAGCTTCGCTCGGGTTCTTGTTCATGCTAAAATCCGCCTACTGCCTGGTTCGTAGCCGTCTGCCGTGTTCATGGAGCGCTTCTTCATGCTAGGTCACGATGAGGAAGCACCATCCATACAGTGGCCCCCAGAAAGTTGAAGAATGGATTTGGGATGATTAGTGCGGGGATCCCCTATACTTCATTGAAGGGCATTAAGAAATTGATGTTCCAACTCTCTGGCTTCTACTTGAGGAGACTCAACAACGGACTATCACAGCTTGCAGTACATGCTGATCTGGAAGGTACTATACACATGACTGTACAACGGATCCGGTGCTGGCTTACCCGTCCTCGTTTTTGAAATTCTTACCGAACCCTTGTCTGAGGTGTATCAGAAAGGCAGGTGTCACGAGGACGCCGTGGGACCCTGGTGGTCGCGTGCAGGAGCCGCTTCATGGCTAACGTTCACGTTTATCTGCTTCCGTTCCCTAGCAGCCTGCTACTGCTATATTCTAGGTTTCTGTCCGTATTAAAACTAAATTGCGGTACTTGGGTCGATTGCATAGGTACTCGTGCATGGCAGCTGGGAGAGTGAAGGTTGGCAGCACAATGACTTTCAACGCTTCAGCGTGCCGATAACTGAATCGGAAGCTTTGCAACCTGAGGCGCCATCCCCCTCCCCTCCCCTCCCTGCCCTTCCCTACCCATCCCATGGAAGAGAGCACAAAAAAGCAGAAGACCCTGGCAACCAGGGTCTACGAACAGCTGATTCCGCAAGCGCCGGCACACGTTCAGGCAGGTTGCCGCCATCTCTGAGTCGAGCTGTCTACCCAGAGGCCCCATAGTAGTTCCTTTTTGGGATTACCCTATAGGATTCTATATATGAACCCCAAAAAGGCCCAAAGTAGTTCCTTTTTGGGGTTCATATATAGAATTCTATAGGGTAATCCCAAAAAGGAACTACTTTGGGGCCTCTGGGTAGAGACCGGAAGAGCATAACTGCTGTTTGCTCTCCGACGTTCGCCTTTCTTCAACGACTGTTAGAGGCAACTTCGCTGAGAAGGCCAGCATCGACCCCGTGACCAATAGATGAAGTAAGCCTGGTCGTCCAGTTTCTCACATGAGACTACGCATGGGAATGGATACTTACTAGGGTTGCGTAACATCTGGAGTTCAGGTCAAGGTGCTTAGTCTTCGTTTGCAGGCGTCTGCTACAAAAAGCGTCCTAGAGATCCTAATCTGGAACAACACCGCCCAAGCCCTCGACCCCTAAACCCTATAGACACCTAAGCACTAAACCCTTAAACATGTCGCAAATTCTGAATTCTGTATTGGTCGCCGCGACTGTTAATTGCCGAGGTGGAGAGAGGTTTGCCTAGCAAAGCAACAGGGACGAAGAAGCTTCAAAGCTGCAGTCGTGCACATATGAGCGGGAGCCTTTACCGAGACATGCCGAGACATGCATGTAAGATCCCGTCTGGAACTGTGTGACTCGCACCGAGTCCAAACTCTCGAGACCAAACCAACAAGTTGTTTGAGACCTGGGAGTGACAAGTTGGCTTCCATGAGTGAAGCTGCTTTCAACTGTTCTTCGAAGTAACCCTGCAATGCGGGCTTTGTCCTTGCAAGGTAGGAGGGGGAAAACCCTCAAACCGTCAACTAATCGGAGACTGCCCAAAGGCCCCAAAGTAGTTCCTTTTTCGGTTCATATATAGAATCCTATAGGGTAAGCCCAACAAGGAACTACTTTGGGGCCTCTGGGTGCCCTTAAGCCCTTAAGCCCTTAAACCCTAATCTCAGCGGAGGCTGCAGAGGTCGCAGCATGTGGCTGGGTTCCCCTGGACGCGCTGTTGGGGAACTGTGCGAGGCGGGCTTTGGTTCTTGACGGTTTATAAGGTTTTAAGTCAGGTTTTAGGGTTTAGCGTTTAGGGTTTAGGGGTTTGGGCGCTGGCCGGCACCTCAGTCCGTGCTGAAAAGGGGTTTGGGGGTTGTGGGTTCGGGTTATTGGGTGGTTTTTTTCTCTCGCGACATTGGTCAGGGACAGTGTGGCTTCAGTCTGCAGCTGGGTGCCAATGCGAAAGTCTTGAAACTTTACTTCATTGGTGCATGTATAAATAATATAAATACTGACATGCTGTCACCACCCGCGAAGCTCACACAAGTATCGGTCTTGGGCATGTTGCCTTTGCAGGAACGTACAAACTAGGTGGATCATCAATCCATGTTGCTCGGCACCTGCTATGCTTTCTTTCTTTACCTGGGACGTTTTGTTTTTCGTCTTTCCAACTCAGTATCCATCGAGCCTACGTGCGTGGTCACTGAGGCGACTGCGCACAACAATAAAAAGAGTGGCACCAACGTAGCTACGAGCTGTTGCCTATAGCCACTGTCGCATACAGATTCGACATGACCCACAAGCAACTGCGACACTAATGGATATGACCACAACGACCTCTCCAACAACGTCATTCCATATGTACACAGATTTAGACCTGTGGTTGGTCTTGAAAGCCCTCCCAAATGAAGCCAGGCCTTTACGTTGGTCGGAGCTGCACGGCCCCGTCGGCGCTCCATGGGATGGATTCCCGCCGCATGGAAGCACTGTGAAACCAAAGTCGTAGTGCACTGTGGCAGAATCCATGTTCCATGTTCCGGCAGCTGGCTCGTGCCAGTGCTCACCGGAACACCCTAAGCCCGACCTCTTTCTTTGCAGCAACTTGATCTACATGCCTGGTGGCTTTGGCATCAAGGCATGCCGAAGCTTAGGCGTGAAGAGGCGTTCAAGTCAGGATCCAGGGACTCCCAACTTCCAAGGTCTCGGGCCCTTCATTCGTAGAACTTTGCTCTTTCTTCCGTCTTGCCCTCAGCAGGTCAGTAGACTTGCCTCTCCGAGACTTGCATACCTCCGACGTGGTGGATGAGGCAGGGATGCGATGGGCGAAAACTGGATTCTCAGTGGAGGAGGCCCCAAGGGATAGTTGTACGGAGAACAGGAGTGCGAACCACACTCTGCTGTTTAGGAACTACATTAATACGTGCTTCGCATCCTTGCTGCGAGCATTCCCGCCCTAATGCCTTCAGCCATGCAATAACACCAACACAACCATCAGCATAGAGTTCATCTCAGAATGACTAGCTTGCTCATGAGCAGGCCTTTGCCCGTCGACATTTCATTCTGTGGGGTCTGAGTCCTGGCTGCACTGAATCTGCAAAGCTGGCTCCGCAGGAGAGGAGTTACGCACTCAAGCCTCGCGCTGAAGGGTGCAGGGTTCGCGGTCTCCTTTATTCAGGGTTGGGGGAGCCGGAGATACCTGTTTGCAAGCCGTTTAAGGCTGGATGCGTTGATGTGGACTCTGGCTGGGCAGTTCCAAGTTATTAAGGAAGCCGATCCGGGCCAGCTCGTAGCGTGAAATTTCTGCCCTTTCCGATCACTCCAACTTGCGCGACATGCCTCGAAGTGGATCGCATGTACATATGTATATATATATATATATATATGTATATCTATCCATATATAGCCATGGTGTGGGATGGCGGAAATCACGACAACAGGGGCCGCCAGCTGAACATGACTCATGCCCATGGGGGCCTTGGCCCACATCTCACGTGCCTCCTGTGTCGGCGGCGCTGTTGCAACCGCTACGCTGTTGTGGCCAGCATTCAAAGTCCTTCCAAGCACCCTGCTTTTCAGCTGAGCCCCATAAGAATTGAAATTCTACAAGCCGCAACCCCAAACGCCTGTGATCAAGGACCCTGGGAATTGTCAACGACTGGCTGGTGACCACCGGTCTGCGCAAAGAGCCCATCACCCTGAGCTCGCGGCTCTAAGAGCAAAAACAACAGAGTCCGTGATGGCGTTTAGGCTGTCGGGTCTCAAGTAGAGGTTCTGTGGGGTTTATAGGTGCAACAGGATCTATAAAGGAGGGACGAAGAGCATCTGTCTTGAGGCTGCTCAGGAAGCCTCTGGGATAACTCTAAACCCATAGCCCGCAATCCCGACACCCCCATGGCAGCAGGTTTAGCTGTGAGACCGGAAGAACATGTTTAGCTTGTGCTGTGCGTTGGGAAAGCTTCAATGGACTTAGGAACTGGGCATGGGGAATGAGTGTTGAGGAGGGTGTAGTTTTTATGTTGCTGCTTGCTTTCTGGGCTCAGGCTTTCAAGGCTGATGTTTTGGGTTCAGGCTTAGAGAAATCTTGGTAAAGGAGTTTCGCTACTCAGTCACTTGGCGGTTCTTTTTAGAACTCTAAGCATGGCACAAATATCCAAGCCTACTCTTCGAGAGGGTGGGCGGATTGCGTGTCAGAGATGGGAGTCGGAGTCTGGGATTTCAGGAAAAGTTTTCTTTGCTAGATTGTTGGTCCAGGGTTTCAGGGTGTCGGATGGCAGGTCTGAGTGAGACTGCACAGTGCCATGCTCTTTTGTTTCGGGCCGTCGCTTAGGGGTTGAACCAGGCTTCAGGGGAGCCTGGCGAACCAACGCACTATAACCAAGTCTCTAATGCAGCAAAGCACCATCACTCCTGAATCATTAAAGTCGCTAAACCCTGAAACCTTGAACAACCCTTTTGAAAGTTTGGAGGGGTGACTTAGCAAAGACTAAACATTTAAATCCCCGAACCGACAGCATCTAGGAAAAGTGAGGCTTGTCTAACCCTGCCATGCGGGCTCGTCCTTGCGAAGTAGGAGGCAAAAAATCCCAAAACCTCGAACAGACTTGACGGTTTCGGGGTTCATATAGGGTACTTGACAATGACAGGCTACTACCTCTGCCAGGGCCTGAAATGGTCTTCTGAGCTTGTTGAGACTTGATCTGCCTGTGATAGTCTAAGGGAGCTTTAGAAAAGACTAGAAGCGGGTTTTTTGAGGTTCCTTCGACGTATAGTTGGAATAGGCACCATCCGGGAAGATAAGTGCTACCTATTCCCACCCCTATCGATTTTGTCCGAAAGTTGCATTGCTTCGATGTGGTGCTGCTGAGTCTTATGGGCTGGTGCATCTGGCAATGTATGTATATGTATATATATATATATAGTTTATATATATATATATATATATATATATGTATATTCTAGACAGAACTGGTTGGCGACTGAGATCAGCACAGTATGTTTGCAGGAATGTAGAGACACAATGAATAGCTAGACAGTAACATCCTTGTGCCAACACGATCTGCAACATCAAGTAACTCCAGTAGGGGGCGTTCGATCACTCCTTGTCAACCCCAAGACTACATTCAATATCTTATCATTGACCTTGCTGCATCTTGAAGCCTGCTGGTTGTCTTGGCCATAATCTTGAAACATCAAAAAGGCAGAACTGTGGATTGCAGCCGCCCACAAGGTGGCAGTGTTCCGGGCGGCTGTACGCAGCATGCCAAGGGGGATGCAACAAAGGTCGGTGAAGGTCCAGGCTTTGGGATTCGGGATGAAGGGTGCCGCGGGCACTGTCATCAGCAGAGAGCGATAACACCACTTGAGACCAGTGATGCGATTTTTTGGGATCAAGTTCCACCTGGGCACACTCGCTGGATTGTGCAACGCAAGGAACGATCCGCTGCAGGCCTTCGTGCAGGCGGGATGTAGAGACAGAGGTGCGTGAGAGGGGAAGAAGAGAAATACGCACGCACGAACACAGACCCACACACACGCACACACGCGCGCACGCATCATATGTATTATGCGTGCCGTATACACGCTGTCGAGTGCGAGTGCCAAAAGGTGCATGTGTGTATATGCATACATATATATATATATATATATATATATATATATATATATATATCTGTGTGTGTGTGTCTGTGCGTGTGCGTGTGCGTGTGTGTGTGTGTGTGTGTTTGTGTATCCAGACATCCATCCTTCCATGCAGCCCTCGCACTTCTTGACTCATGTGCATACGTGCATGTTTATATATACATATATATATATATATATGTGTTTATATATATATATATATATGTTCAGTTCATATTTAGATAGGTAGGTAGATACCGGGACACCAACAAAAAGCAGTACATACCTAGTGGTGTGTATATATATATATATATATATACATACATCGAGATAGGCTTGTATGTGCAGATATGTATGTGTATACATGCATGTATGTAATTAAGTAACTATGCATGTATGCATGCATGTATGTATGTATGCATGTATGCATCTCCTTGTTGTGTTTGTTTAAGCCAGAGCCTGATGACAGGCATGGTCCGGACGATCGGCCTCCGGAACTTTGCGTGCCTGGCTGAGCATACGAGCCTGATGATCAATTCACTGGTGCTCTCACGAACCGTTTAGGGTTTAGGGGGTCTCACTGTATATAAGCGTGCTTAGTTTTGGCGATACGAGATCTTTTTGATCGCAAATCACAATCCGGCAATGCTTCTTGACCGTTCTTGTGTAAGGAAACATCTGCTCGCTTTGTATCTTCCCGGCTTCAGGGCTTCAGGATGCACAAGTGGTCTGCATGGGCGTTTGTGCATTGGGCTACCATACATAGCACCTTCGGATAAGAGGACTTGGCATCCGGAAACGCACAGAGACAGACAGACAGGCACATAGAGACAAAGAGGCACACACACACACACACACACACACACGGCCGCACACAGATGGCCGCACACAGGGGCACTTCCATATTCGCCGACTCTGACAGCAACAGAACCGCACGGCCTGCCTCGGCTAATACGGCTAATACACTCAGCAAGCAGACCATCCATTGAGGAGCAGTAATTAAGGCCTCCACGGCAGTAATCGCAGTTGGTTCTTCCGCCTTCCATCAGGGACTGCAGACGAAGAGGCAGATGAGATACGTCGGCGCCTTGTTTTTTCTTTTCGGCAGGCGGTTCTGAATGCTTGAGTAAATAGCTCGCTCAAATGCATGTACATGTGTCACGCAGCCACAACAATTTCAAAGGGTGAAGGGGAGGCGCCCCTCTCCAGGCAGAAACAGAGGCGCATGTCGACTTTCCTACCGCAAAACCCGAAACTCCAATTCAGCGTTCCAAAACAGAGCAGTCAGAGCAGTAATTAAGGCAGTTCCATAATGTTTGACATCGTAATTATCCTCCACAACCACAAAGCCCTAATAAAGCGCAAACGAGCTTCATGCCGTGGTGATGTCTGCGAATGTTTGCGGCCTGCCCAACAATTGAGCTGCGCAAGATCACGGGAGATGTGATAGCCCACACGAAGCTCGACCCAGATGCCGTGCCTAAGCGCAAAAAGCAAGCTGAGGTTTCCGGATAGCTAGCTCACCCGAGTAAATACCCAGAGGCCCCAAAGTAGTTCTTTTTTGGGATTACCCTATAGGGTTCTATATATGAACCCCAAAAAGGAACTATTCTGGGGCCTTTGATTACATGCCTACATACTTACATACCCGCTACTACCCAACCGTTATCAAAAAAGTCATACTTGCTTCCTTTCTTACTGTCTTGCTTGCTACAGATCTGTATACCTCTTCTGTTACTATACATACATGACAAAGTTAGTTGGTTTCCATTCTTCGCTTGTTTTACGCCTGTAGCCACGTGCATGCAGGTAGTTCGTTTGTTGGTTGCTTTGATTGTTTGCTTGCCCCACTGCGCGAAACTGCATCCTATCCCAGTACAGGAGTGCCAGTCAGCCAGCTCAGCCCGAACGAACCCTTAACACCCGCAAGCTTGGGTTGTAATAAGGACCCACCCACGAATACTGATGCAAAAGGAGCCTCAGCATAACTCCATTATCCCTTCTGCTTGCTGTTAGTTTGTGTGTGTGTGTTTTTGTGTGTGTGTGTGTGTGTGTGTGTGTGTGTGTGTGTGGTGTGTGTGTGTGTGTGTTTGTTTGTGCGGGGTGAGGGGGTGCTAACCCAACTGTACCCTAAAGCCAATATCTAAGAGTACTCAGAAGAAATGAAGAAGGGCCCCAAGAAGAAGAGAACAAGTTTGACTAGTAACTCCACGAGTTGGAAGGTGATATTGAGATAATTTTGATGGTAGTACTAGTAGATTTGTTGTTTCCTAAAGTGCCAGTAGACTTAGTGTTGTTTTCTGAAAGACCCTGTGAGCTCTGAAATCACAGGCCCCCATATCTGAATTGATACCGTCCTGCTGCAGAGCTCGTCACGGCTTGCGGTAGACGGCTGCCACCCAAGGTAGCCGTGGCTGCTTTGAAGGAGGTGCTAGCCGCACGTCTAGACGAAGATGACGAAGTGCTGCATAGCTTCCTGTATGACGGGGCACTGATTTGGGAGACGCCTGTATGCACGTGTGCTGTAATCGTAAGAATGAGTATACTCATAATAGCAATAGTAAGAGTCATAAAAACTATAAAGTTTCAGAGTTCGTAGTCGCTGTCCAATGGCTTTGGGTTTCAGTGTTTAGCCTCGAGGGGCCCGCACTGAAGCCCCAAAGGTGACCTGTGTAGAATGCAACTTTCGGGAGACTCTGTATTGCTATTCTATATATATATATATATATATATATATATATGCTAACTTTTAATTAATATATATATATATATATATATATAGCCTACCCTAATCATAGGAGGCCACAGTAGTAGTGTATACATTCTTTGGATCATATAGCAATAGCAAGGGAGAGGGCCCGTCCACCGGACGCGAACTCACGATTCAACCACAAATTCCCCTAAGGCCTGCAGGCCTATTAGCGCCGTTTACCCGAGAGAATAAAGCATCCCAGCAGTTACGCATTCGACGAGTGTTCGGCGCGGCTGAAGCTACAAATCTTGGTAGCAGAGACCAGCTACATAGACATAATCACAACATGCACAACTTACTAGAGAGAGTACTTAAGTAGCAACCATATCCTTTTGTGCACATGGTACATTGACGTGGCAACGAATTGAGAGGTTCCTTCCCCAGGCCGTCAGGCCCTGAGCCCGGCTTCATGAAACAGAGCAAGCCTTCGGCGACTAGAAATTCAAGGGTTCAGGGACTACCTGGATCCCAAAGTATGTAGAATTATGGCCTTTTATAGGTATTGGGCCATTATTTTACATACTTTGGAGGGTTTCGGTAGGGATTTGCGCTCGGAGCATCCTCGCAATTCCGGCTGCCCTCAGCTCCCTGGTGCTTAGTAGGGAATGGGGGAATGGATCCCTATAGCAGTCCCTTGTTTTCCCGGAAATAGTCCCCATAACCCATTCCCCATTCCCTACTAAGAACCAGACAATCAGATTCCAACGGAAGATTTCCCGAGCGCCTGCCGTAGACGGAGGAGCGCTTTGGTCAGGGATCTCGGCTTCCCGACAGATGGCGTGGCCGAAATCTGCGTGGTGCCTTGGCTGTCTGGTTCTTAGTAGGGAATGGGGGAATTTATGGGTTATGGGGACTCCTTCTGGGGAATAAAGAGGGACTACTATAGGGATCCAGTCCCCCATTCCCTACTAGGCACCAGGGAGTTGGCCAATCTGGTTCGCGAGCCTGCGTCCAGGAGCATTGAGAATTCACGAAGGCTGCACCAGTTGCTGAACCACTTACCTTTGGTTAGTAGGGAATGGAAGAATGGTAGTAATAGTGGTTAATTGTACCCCATTCCTCCATTCCCTACTAACCAAAGGGCAAGACAAGTCGTTTTGACGCGAGAGAAGCCAAGGTTGTCGACAGCCGGGCCTCTTTCCAGTGGAAGCATTGCGCCTCTGCAGAGTTGAGATCAGCTCTTGGAGGTTCATGGGTACTTATAAGTGGGTTTTAAGTAGGGTAACTATACTTATAAACCATATTAGGGTAACTACCCATGAACCTCCAAGCTGAGTGTCCAGTGATTTCAGAAGATGGTTCCTGCAGCGTTTCACTCTTTGATAAGTTGGTCTCCGGCACTGACTACTTCCAAACTGCATTGAACCAGGCAGCTGCAGAGGCTAAACTACTGTAGAAGCCAGAAAATTCGGACATCATTACCCTCATGCCTCTAAGGCGACATATGAGGGATCCTAGCACTAATCATCCTAAACCCATGTTGAGAACTCCTGATTGCGCTGATCATATACTCTAAGATACTTGAAGAGAAATAATGAACTATAACTAGAATTAGAATATACTATAAGGTACTTTGAGAGGCTATAACGAACACTACTATACAAGATACTAGAACATATTAAGCTTCTTACATACCTTGTGTGGGACCGCTCGATCCGGTCCAAGATGAAGAAGCCTTCGCCGATACAGAGGTAAGGTGTGCGGCATTATGCCATGGGCTCTTGGCTTCAAGGTCCGACGTTCGCCGAGTGGTTGCAAGATTTCCTTTTTCACAGCACTACCTAGTGGCTCCGTAGTAGTTCCTTTTTGGGGTTCATATGTAAAATCCTATACGGTAATCCCCAAAAGGAACTACTATGGAGCCTTTGGTTAGGGACTTGGACATGGATGTATTTCGAGTCTGGCACAACTTAGTTGACTATGTAAGAATGCACACGTACTCCGGTAAATGCCTGTAAATAAACTTGCGCGGAAGTACTTGGCCGTCTTCTTGATGCAGGATCACACATATTTATGTGTGCATGTATATACACATACAAACATAGAGGTACATATCTCTGTCTCTATCTTTTTTTTTCTCTCTCTCTCTCTCTCTCTCTGTGCATACATACGCACACACGTATATATATATATATACATATACATAGATATGTATATATGTATACATATGATACGCATTATGTACACATACGTACATGTTACATACATACACATAGATGTACCGTGGAACGTCCTCCAGCTCCCAGCTCCGTCTGTCATCGAGTGATCCACCGATGAACCCTGAAAGCGCAATGCCTGGCTGCAACTGGGTGGTTGAAATGATGGTCCCTTTTTGGGTCCCTATTATAGTACGGCACCCATTTTGTAGGGTACCCAATTAGGGCCCCTAATTTTGACAATTACCCTACTGGGAAGAGGCTTCGTCATGAACTTTGCCCATTTGACTCCGGAATGGAACACGGCAGTCCGAATCCTGAAACCTGCATGTGTTTGCTTCTTTGTACAATAAGGCACAATTGGCGAGGGCTTTATCAGCGAAGACGGCGCCTTTTCTCCGATTATCTCCGATTACTCCTGAGCGCGATCCTGCGCCGTAAAGCCCTTTATGAGTGTATTCCCTGGTTACGTGGCAGAGCAACGATCTTCCGCGGTTTTTTTGCGGTGTGGATTGCCTTTCGAAGCCTAGATTGCTGCATTCGTTCTCCAGTATAAGCCGGAGTCACTTATTTCCTTCTGGCACCGTTCAATTGACATGCTGCTTTATGAAGAGTCCTCGCCTGGTCTCTGAAGCTGTTAAGGTGGAACCCCACCTGTCCATGCCGCACCACACGTAATAATTATTCGGCCTTTATTAAACCCTAAACTCTAAACCCTAAACATGTAGTAACTGTAGCAATGCACCTCAGAAGCCGTGCCTGCGTCAGCGAGTGCGTGCGTCGAAACCCTAAACATGCTTATAATATCCCTTGTGTCTCGACTGTGGGCCTAAAAGTGATCTACAACTGTCTTTCCCAGGGTCCTATATGTTGCATGTGTTGCTTTACAGTGGATAGGATCCTGGAGGGGATATGTCTACGAGAACATGGTCACTTTAGGTGTTGATGGATATATTGTTGCTTGTATTTTGATTATTCCCCTAGTGAAGCCTCACTCAACAGACATGCCTCGCCTGGATTGTCCGAGTGTGGGCGCCGAGACATTGCAAGGCTTAAGTTCCCACCCACGGTCGCAGCCTCCGAGGCGCAATCTATCACAGAGGCGAGACGTCCTCCACTACAAACGGGGTGCGGGCAGCAGCACCTCGCTGCAGTTGGTGGGGTTCGGGCT